TGTTCCTTCCAAGTGGCTATGAATTTAAAACATAGCCGCTCACATGAATGCCTCTGACTCTGATCAGACTCTAGATCTCCCTCTGTAATGGCCAGCCTGCCTAACTGTGGCTGATAGCTGCCTCCCTGGAAGGAGAGCTTAGGGTGCTGGAGCTTCCCATATCTCAAAAGATGCTATAAATCCTGGGACCAGCAGTTAGCCTAAAGGCTATGTGGCTGAACTCCCATGTAGCTGATTGCAGTTCGAGTCCCAGACCCAGTGGCTTAAACTCATGCTGGGCGCATGTGAGTGCGTGCCCAAGATCCCGAGAGGAGAATGGAGGAGAAGGGATTGCGGCATGACCATCCCCCCTGGGGGGGTGATTTCTCACTTTCTGTCTCTCTCTGTCTGTCTGGCGAGCGCATGTGCCCTATAGCAAAAACCTCTCCAAAAAAAAAAGATGCTATAAATCCTCGACCCAGCAGTTAGCCTAAAGGCTATGTGGCTGAACTCCCATGTAGCTGATTGCAGTTCGAGTCCCAGACCCAGTGGCTTAAACTCATGCTGGGCGCATGTGAGTGCGTGCCCAAGATCCCGAGAGGAGAATGGAGGAGAAGGGATTGCGGCATGACCATCCCCCCTGGGGGGGTGATTTCTCACTTTCTGTCTCTCTCTGTCTGTCTGGCGAGCGCATGTGCCCTATAGCAAAAACCTCTCCAAAAAAAAAAGATGCTATAAATCCTCGACCCAGCAGTTAGCCTAAAGGCTATGTGGCTGAACTCCCATGTAGCTGATTGCAGTTCGAGTCCCAGACCCAGTGGCTTAAACTCATGCTGGGCGCATGTGAGTGCGTGCCCAAGATCCCGAGAGGAGAATGGAGGAGAAGGGATTGCGGCATGACCATCCCCCCTGGGGGGGTGATTTCTCACTTTCTGTCTCTCTCTGTCTGTCTGGCGAGCGCATGTGCCCTATAGCAAAAACCTCTCCAAAAAAAAAAGATGCTATAAATCCTCGACCCAGCAGTTAGCCTAAAGGCTATGTGGCTGAACTCCCATGTAGCTGATTGCAGTTCGAGTCCCAGACCCAGTGGCTTAAACTCATGCTGGGCGCATGTGAGTGCGTGCCCAAGATCCCGAGAGGAGAATGGAGGAGAAGGGATTGCGGCATGACCATCCCCCCTGGGGGGGTGATTTCTCACTTTCTGTCTCTCTCTGTCTGTCTGGCGAGCGCATGTGCCCTATAGCAAAAACCTCTCCAAAAAAAAAAGATGCTATAAATCCTCGACCCAGCAGTTAGCCTAAAGGCTATGTGGCTGAACTCCCATGTAGCTGATTGCAGTTCGAGTCCCAGACCCAGTGGCTTAAACTCATGCTGGGCGCATGTGAGTGCGTGCCCAAGATCCCGAGAGGAGAATGGAGGAGAAGGGATTGCGGCATGACCATCCCCCCTGGGGGGGTGATTTCTCACTTTCTGTCTCTCTCTGTCTGTCTGGCGAGCGCATGTGCCCTATAGCAAAAACCTCTCCAAAAAAAAAAGATGCTATAAATCCTCGACCCAGCAGTTAGCCTAAAGGCTATGTGGCTGAACTCCCATGTAGCTGATTGCAGTTCGAGTCCCAGACCCAGTGGCTTAAACTCATGCTGGGCGCATGTGAGTGCGTGCCCAAGATCCCGAGAGGAGAATGGAGGAGAAGGGATTGCGGCATGACCATCCCCCCTGGGGGGGTGATTTCTCACTTTCTGTCTCTCTCTGTCTGTCTGGCGAGCGCATGTGCCCTATAGCAAAAACCTCTCCAAAAAAAAAAGATGCTATAAATCCTCGACCCAGCAGTTAGCCTAAAGGCTATGTGGCTGAACTCCCATGTAGCTGATTGCAGTTCGAGTCCCAGACCCAGTGGCTTAAACTCATGCTGGGCGCATGTGAGTGCGTGCCCAAGATCCCGAGAGGAGAATGGAGGAGAAGGGATTGCGGCATGACCATCCCCCCTGGGGGGGTGATTTCTCACTTTCTGTCTCTCTCTGTCTGTCTGGCGAGCGCATGTGCCCTATAGCAAAAATCTCTCAAAAAAAAAAAGATGCTATAAATCCTAAGGTTTATGTAAAATTTTCCTATTCTTAAATAGTGGTCCACATCTTATTTGTTTTACTTTTAAACAAATCCTGTCTATATATTAGATCTGTCTTCTCGGCCACTGATGTACAACCCAGGTGCCAAAGACTGAATTCAACTGCTTGCCCCTGATGGCACAAAGAGGTGGGACCTTTGGGAGGAGATTAGGCCATGCAGGTGGGACCCTCATGCCTGGATTCATGCCCTTATATTGGGTTGTCAGAAAGTCATGACACATTTTTACATGGGTAAACAGAAAAACATGTCATGACATTTCTGACAACCCAATGAAAGGGACCCTAGAGAGCTGCCTTGCCCTCCTGCCTGTGAGGACATAGCAAAAAGGTACCACCTATGAACCAGGAAATGGGCCCTTACCAAGTGTGAAATGCCTTGGTCAGACTCCCAGTCTCCAGAACCATGAGAACTAAATTTCTGTTGTTCGTGAGCCACCCATTTGATGGTACTCCACTAAAGGAGTTGAATGGAATGACACTTTGCTCTAAACCAGCCTTGCAAACAGCACCACGGAACGCACACTGCTTCCTCCTATGCTTTCCAGAGATGACTTCTCAATTGTCAACTTCTCAGAGACTTTCGCTGCCAATTCTGGAAAGTGACATTTGCTCATCTTTTATACTGTCATCTCTCTCACTAGAATGTAAGTGCCCAAGGGCAGGGCCTCACTCACCCACTGTTTCCCCACTCAGTCCTGCACTGTGTCCCATGAACCACAGGCCTAGGGAAGCACGATAAGAGGGAGAACAGCACACGGTGACCTCCACACAGAGTCCTGCTATTCCTAGCAGGTGGCTGGGGAGTGGTTCTATCCACCAATCTGAAACATCTCCTCAGTATCTGACACTTATTCCTGCTCTGTCACAGTAACCCATATCCACTGGACACATTCCAAGTCTCCCCCCCACCAGTGGTTGCCTGGAACACTGGAGAGTACAGGCCCTACTTCTGTCTATTGGAACACACTTCTGTTCGGGTCTCCCACACACATTTAATGCCCTTTCCCTCTTAAGCACAGTGGTTGAGAACTTTCATCTTTTCTTGGGACCAGCAGTTAGTGTAATGGCTATGTCGCTGGATTCCCATGTAGTCGACTGTGGTTTGAGTCCTGGACCCAGTGGCTTAAACTCACGCTGGGCACATGTGTGGGCATGCCCAAGATCCTGAGAGGAGAATGGAAGAGAACGGATTGTGGCATGGCCATTCCCCCTGGGGTATGACTTCTCGCTTTCTGTTTCTCTGACTCTCTCCGTCTTTCTGGTAAGCACACGTGCCCTATGGCAAAAACCTCTCCAAAAAAAAAAAGAAGAAAAAAAAACCTTTCATCTTTTCTTTTCTCTTTCTTTCTTTCTTCCTTTCTTTCTTTCTTTTTTTTTGAGGTTTTTGCTATAGGGCATGTGCACTCACCAGAAAGAGAGAGACAGAAAGTGAGAAATAACTCCCAGGGGGGATGGCCATGTCACAATCCCTTCTCCTCCATTCACCTCTTGGGATCTTGGGCACACACACACACACACACACACACACGTGCCCGGTGTGAGTTTAAGCCACTGGGTCCGGGACTCGAATCACAGTCAACTACATGGGAGTTCAGTGACATAGCCATTACGTCAACTGCTGGTCCTTGAGAACTTTCATCTTTTCATTTAAAGAAAAACGCTGCTTTATATTAAATTTTTTCATTTTACAGCTTCTCGTTGACATAGCTGAGCTGTCAACATCACTCCTGTAGAGCTCTGGAGCCATCATGTAAAATAAAGGTCGCCTGAACACAACAGTGCAGTAGTACCTCGACAGCCAATCTGACAACATGTTGGCGGCTAAGTGACTAATGGGTGGGCAGAGGACACAGCCTGGATGTACCAAATAAAGGGGCGGTTCACAGTCAGTGCAGGACGGAGCAGCCCAGGGCGAGATTTCATCACACTACTCAGAACTGTACACTTTAAGCCTTACGAATTGTTTATATTGGAAATTATCCATTTAATATTTTTGGACCATAGTTGACTTCAGGAAACTGAATCTATGGAAAATGAATCTGTGGGCAAAAGAGGACTCCTGCATGTGTATTAACATTATGTTTAATTCGTATGTCTACAGAGTGGAGTGGGCATCTTTCTGACATCAAGCCATTTTGTCAAAAAATGGCATCATTTAAGGCCTCATTTTTGGGGGGATAGGGCTTTAGGAGTATTTTGAAGTTTCCTTTGTGCAGATGGTACACATTTCTGAGGTTGATGTTTGCATACTGGAAAGCAAAAGCTGTACATGCTTTCACTCCCCAAGGCTTTTTAAAGACTTTATTTAATTTTAATTGTCAGAGGGAGTGTGTGCTCACCAGAGAGAAAGAGAGAGCACCCCTAACAGGGCATGATCACGCCACAGTCCCTTCTCTGTTCTCTACCCTATCAGGGGGAAACTTGGGACATACACAGGTCCAGCATGCTTCTCAGCTGCTGGGAATCAAACCACCAATGACCATGTGGGATCTTGCTTTCTCAACCACTAGGTCATAGGGCTGGCCTGACTTTAGAGATAACTCAAAAAGCTGCTCAGTTCTTTAGAAACTTTAAAATGATTCTAGAATGTAGAACCTGCCCCTCCCTTCATGTTTCACAGAAGAGGAAGCTGACACCTGAGGCCTAAGGAGGACAGTTCCTGGTCAGGTTGTGGCCAGGCAGCCTGTGGCCAGTTTGCTTGCTTCTAACATGGGGATGAGCAGCAGCACAGACCAATGGTGTGGGAGCTAAACAGTGAATGGCTGTTAGCCTGGACATCCTCCTTCTCAACAACATAAAGGGGTTGAGCCTGGCAGGGCTGAGGCCAGGACCCACCACAGTCACAGCTGTTGGCAGGCTGCCAAGTCCTTAGTCTGCCTGGCCCACAGCACTCACCTTTGAGTATGGGCCTCTCCCCGATGCTCCGGATGGTGTAGACAGCACTGGAAAGGGGCATGTCTGGAAGCAGCTCTGCCAGCAGGTACCCAGAATACCAGGCGCACATGGAGGCGAAGGCAAGGAACACTGCCTTGAAAGCACCTGGAGACAGAGGACAAGCTGGCTCTGGACACGCTCGGCAGCACCCTCTGCAGCCTGTGTTCATGCTGCTCTGAGGGGACATGACCCCTGGGAGTTTCCTGGATGGGGGAGGTGGCAGGCAGGGATGGGCATTGAGCCAAGATGACTCAGCTGGCTGCGCTGTGGCTGAGCATCTGAAATCGGCAGACAGTAGTAGATAATAAATACGAGCAGATCAGAAACGTTCTCAAAGCCAGGTTGTTGTGGTTGTCATTTTGGGTCTTAGAGTCCCTCAAATGCTAGTTTGAGCAACTCATCGCACAGTCTAGTGAGCCAACACATCCAAAGCAGACTTGAGAAGGCCGAAGTGGCTCATTCTTTTTGTGAGACACACCCTGATCTGAGTATGTCCTGGACCCACACTGAGCCCCCCAAAGGGTGCGAGCCCCTTATTTGTTCACTGCTACGTCAGCAGTGCTGAGGATGGTACTGGTACCCAGTGAACTTGCAACAGTCCACGCTGAATGGCAGCCTGACCTGGTGACACTGGAAAAGGTCACCAAACGTGTCCTATCACGAGCCTGTATGGACACATGAGGCTCCTGACAGCAGAAAGTCCCTGGAAATCTCTTTCTGGTTAGTAATTCCAGTATCTTTTCTCTCTGGTGCTCATATAGATCATACGATTCTTAAGAAAAATGCATTTACCTTGTCTCTGGTTACAGAAGCCTTGGAGAGCTCTCTGCTACTGTCATTTCACTCCCAAAATATTGCACAGGTCAGGACTCGTCAGCAGTCTGCTTACCGAAACCATCACAATGCAGGGAGAACCACAGACCTTGCACAAAGGAAGAGCTGCGATGGAGTGTCCCATCAGCATCTACTTATTTATTAGCAAGTGTGGTCTTAAATAAGGAAGGAGTGGCCAACTGAGGTGACAGAGTGGCAACGCATTGCTCCGCAATGTCCTAACCACATGGGAAGGGCGCAGGTTCACGACCCATGGCTTCCCCCGCCCCCGCCCCGAATGTCAGACATGTGTCCTTGACCCTGGCTGGCTGAGGCAGGGGCAGATCACAGTGCAAGACCCTGTTGGGGGTGCCTCTCTCCCTTATGGAAGAAATAAATAAGTAAATAAATAAGAAAACAAAGAAAGAGAGGAAGGAAGGGAAAAGAGGAAGGACACAAAATGAGGAAAGGAAAAAAAGAAGGGAAGAGAATTATCAAATTGGAAGGAGTTGTGAGATCCTTCAAACTGGTAGTCATTATTCAGAAGTGTGGGTGGCTCGACCTGTTGATGATGACATGTACAGTATTCTCTACTGGACAGGTCTGAGAAGTATTTCATGTTGGGTAAAGTCTTTTTACAAGCAAAATAATAGTGATTGAATGTTTAAAAAAATAATTGTAATAATAATAATAATAATCTGGAAAAAAAGCTATTTGATGATGATTATGGGGATTTTAATGTCTTTGTGGTGAATGATATGAATAGTATTCTTTCTGGAAAAGCAATGTAATACACTGTAAAGTTGTATGTGATTCAATGTAATATAAACAAGATTATGATAATAATAAAAAATTAACTTACTATGGAAAAAGTATATCACTACAGTTTACTAGGATCTTAGAGTTGTTATTTACTCACTTGATCTTCACGCAAAGAAATACATAGTGGTTATTATAACTAAAAAAAAAAAAAAAAAGAAGTGTGGGTGACTCCAAGCTGACAGCTGGCCACTGAACTGAGGGCTGACCTGTGAGGACTCTGCCCCTTAAGCCTGAAGAGAAGCCTTCAAGAAAGCAGCTTGATGGGTATGGCTAGTGTCAGAACTGAGTGGACATAGTTGGTGTCAGAACACCAGAGGACTCTCTCTCTACCTGGGCCCTGAGCAAAGGCAAGCTTCTCCCAGTGCCTTGGGCCAGTGAACTGTTCTCCCAGCCCTCCTTTCTGAGCTTGCCATCCATGAGGCTGCAGTTTGGCCCTGACCCTCCAGCACTTCAGCCCATGGCGTCCTTCCCATCTCTGTCCTTGGTGGAAGACACACCACCATCCATCCCCCCATCCCCTTGAGCACTCTGTATTCAGCTCTGAAGCTCAACTCTCTCACTTCATTTGGAAAACTCTCCCCCCACCTCTATCATCTATGGAGCTACCCACTGGTTTGTTTTGTTGGGGACAGCATGACAGCTAAAGGTCACACTTCTGAAGCACCTAGGGGTTTAGTTTCTTCAAGTGCACATTTCAACATCACTTTTGTTTTCTATTTTCCAAACCACGTAGTCCTTAGGGTTGTTAGAATATTACTCAAGGATAGCTTCCTGTTAAGAGTCCCAGAAGTGTAGTCGCTGCAGTGTCTAGATCCGAAGGGACACCTTGAAGCCACAGGAAACAGGAAACAGTGGCAGGCTTCTCCCCTGCTCCACACTTTTGCTCTGTGCTCCAGCCACAGGGTGGTGTGCTCTCTTCTGCTCCCCCGGCAGGGCTTGCCTCTGGGTCTACAGGGTGCTCTCCTGCACTTGCATCCTCTATCAGCCCTTGGCATCCTCCCCAAGGGAAGGTGGATGTCTAGGGCAGTAAGTGGGTGCATGAAATTCCAGAAAATTCTGTTAGATGAACGCTGAATTCACAGAGTGTGGGAACAGCTAAGAACATGGAGCCAGTGTTGACAGAGTAGCATGTCCACCACCACCACCAGGGGTTAGTGTGTGTCAGGTCACAGTTGGACTATGCCACCCAAGTATCCCACTTGAAGGAAGCTGGCAAGTCAGAGAATATCCAGAGAATCTATTAGACACTACATCGGATGTGACATTTAGCAGAATGACTGGCTGTTTAGCTTGAAAAAGATGGAAAAGGAATAGGATATTCCCTTTCAAGTGTGTAAAGAACAGCTACATGCAAGGATGGTGTCATTTTGTCCCTAGTTGAATAAGGACAGGGAAGGAAATGGAGAGTGACTAAAAGGCCACATGTCCTCCCAAGGAGAACGCAGCCATGGGCTGGCCCATCTAGGAGCAATGAGCACCCATCCTGTCATAGCTGAGGGCTCCTGGGGAGCATCTGTGGTTTGGATGGGGGTACAGCTGGTGACCTGCAGGCTGGCACAGTGTGGGCCATGCAGCTGGTGGCAGGAGCTAAGGCTGCCTCTAGGGTGGGCCAGCAGCACACCAGACCGATCCCCTATTAGAAGATGGTGCACGTGCTGATACTAAGCCAGACCAGCAGCCAGTTCACAGGTCTTACACCATGTGATGAAGTGTTGCCACTGCCAGAGGCAGGGCAGGGCAAATAGGCAGGAGGTGGTAAAGTCATCCAGGTGGGCAGCAGGTATTCATTTCCTAGGCTACCATATGAAGTGCTGGGAGCTGGGTGGCTTCAACAGTAAGAATGGATTCTCTCACATTCTGGAGGCTGCAAGTCATAGCAGGGATGGTTCCTCTGAGACCTCTCAGTTTCCAGATGGTATCTCCTTCCTGTGTCCTCACAATGGCACCTGTGCATGGCTATGTCCTCATATCTTTTTCTCATGAGGACTACAGCCAGACTGGATCAGGCTCATCCTGACAGCCCAATCTAGTGTAATCACTTTTAAATGGCCCTGTCTCCAGTCCCCTTCTGAGGTCCTGGAGGTTAGGGCTGGCATGAGTTGGGGAGAGGGGGCACAGTACAGTCTCTGTCAGCATCTCTGAGCAGGGGCTCAGCCTCCCTGGACACCTCCAACAGGAGCCCGGTCCCTCGGCATGAGAGAAGAGCAGGTAGTACCGAAGGGAGTGGAGGCCAGCCTGGCAGCAAGGAAGACCTCAGCACCCAAGTTGGGCAAAGTGGAGATTTTTCTTGGGAAATGTGGGAGCCCAGGGGCTCCATTATAACAGCTCCTAGGGATCAGTGGGTCTGCTCCGTAGAAGTAGATCCAGCAGCTTCAGAGGCAGGGAAGGAAGTGCAGAGTCCAGGAACTCTTTTGTAATTCTTTAAACAGGATCCAGCCTCTCTCATAGGTAATAAAGCCATGATGGGCTTGGGAAAATAGTGAGTGTGGAGCAAAGGCTACTTCTTAGTGCAGGTAAGTCAGAGCTAGAGTGCCTGTGTGCACGTGTGCACAAGTGCATGTGTGTATGTGAATGTCCAAATGAGTGAGTGTATGCTAGCCTGAGCCTCTTTCTTAGATTTGCAGGAGTCCAGGAGGTCCCTGCTGGTGCACAGCCTAACTTGCCTTGAAGGCAACACCCAGGATCCCAGGTGCAAGCGTGGTAGACAGTGGCACCTGTTCTGTCCACTCAGCCTGAAGGTCCTTCCATATGCCTGGAACAAACTCAGGCTGAACAAAGGTACCAAGGATGATGTCAGCTCCAAGTATGCTACCAAATCTTTAGCTCAAAATCAAAAGTGACATGGCTCTGGGCCCCTTTGGGCTGCTGCTCTCACAGCCGTGCGCCCAGGTAAATACGACCGTGGTGTATCCTGAAGTTATACGTGGAAGGGCCACATAGCTTGTGAATGAATGAGGTCTATGTGCAAAGAAGCAGTAGGTGAGGGAAAGCAATATGATCATATTCAACACCTTCCATAGTAACTAGGGGATGATATTTTGATTATACAATATAGAAATTTTAAAAGTTCCTTCAAAATAGCTACAATGACAGTCAGTGCCCTAGGGAGGTGACGTCTGCTGTTCCCCTTTGCACCCCAGCTGAGAAGGGGGGACAGTAAGGTGAGCAGAAGCTGCCTTATGTATATCCTCACTCTTTTATCCTATAATCCACATAAGTTACTAAAAACAATTTTATAAACAGTTTTTAAAGAAAATATGACGATTTTACATAATAAGGCAAAAATATTTTTAAAAATTGCCAGAGAGAGAAAGAGAGAGAGAAAGAAAGAGAAAGAGAAGGAGAAAGCACCTCACAATGGAGCATGGTCGTGTCGCAATCCCTTCTCCTCCGTTTCTCCGCCCTGTCAGGATTTGGGGCACATGTACCTGGCATGTTTTTCAATTTGTCATGGCTGGGATTTAAACTGCACAGTCAGTCATGCAGGATCCACCTGCCTTAACCACCAGTCCACGGAGTGACCCCAAAGCAAAAATCTTAAAATTTGGCTTTATTGGGTCAGTATTTGGTAATTAAAAAAAATGACTTTCCTGTATTTAGGAATGGATCAGAAAAGGAGGCATTTAGAACTTTCCAGAGTGTGACCACACAGCGGGAATGCTGGGGCTGGTAGGACACAATGATCCTTTCCTTCAGTATCCTCACCACAGAGAGCCTGGGGT